TGGAGAATTCTCTCCGCAAACGAGGGCTTAATGGATCGACCTCGATGTCCCCCGGCGCTCCTATCCCCCGTTCTGCCGTGAAAAATCGACGATGACATCAACGGTTAGCAGCTTCATCGCGATCCCACGGAACACGAAAAATCGTCGCTTTTTACCGCTCGAGTTTTCCCATTTTTTTTTTTCTTCGCCTCCAGTGTGTAGCGTGTGTGTGTTTTTTCTTTCCTTTACAAATCGTTCGTGGACAATGATCCCCAAAGGGAGGGGGGAGATTACGAGGAACGAGAACAGTTCCACGTCATTTCTGCTCGCTCTAATGATCCGGACGTACGCGCGCGCAACCGTTCAGCTCGAAAGTAGAGAGGACATAAGCACCGCTCGCATGAATATTTCAGAGACCAGCAGCGTGGTCTATGGCGCCTTTGTTCGATGGTTTTAATTCCGTTCTTTGCGGGACGGATCATCGGGGGCCCTCCGCAGAAAATTAAACGCGATTGATCGACCCGCGGAATGTTATTTAATCTGGGAGGGACATTAAAATTGAAAGAATCGAGAACTCTAACTGTATTCTGACTTTTACAGATGGATGTCGATAACGGGAATGTTCAGGGTGATTTTAGAAACTGGGACAAGCTATAGTTCTTTTCTAAATAAAGATAGAAAACAAATGCAATATACACGTTTTAAAAAAGTTGAACCAGTTTGTTTTGACATACGTAGATTGTTTTTAATAATACTTTAAGTAATAATTTAAAGAAACTTTAAGAGATATTTCATGCTTTATGGTAGCTTATTAGGTACTCTATCCTAGGAGATTTTATTAATATTTTTATTTTTTTATATCGTTGATAATAAAAAGAATAATTTATATAAAGAAATATTGTATTTATAGTACAAGTTTGAAACTAAACTACTCTATCCTAGTAGATTTTATTAATATTCTTATTTTTTTATATCACTGATATGCATACATACCAGAATAATTTATATTAAGAAATATTGTATTTACTAAAATTGAAAGAATTTTGTTAAATACATTCTCGAGAATATTAATAAAACTATAATCTAACATAACTATCAGATTAAATTATAATCTATTATAATGAAGATCTATTATCTGGAGAATCTAATCACTTATTATATTTAATTGTTCAAGATTGTAACGCCCCTTCCTTTATTTATTTAAACAAAAACTGGCGATCAAAACCTTTTCCAGAGATTACCATTAAATATAGCGATCGCTAAATACCCATGGGAGATATAAAGTACAAAAAAAATATAAAAATTATGTAGTATTGCACACGAATAGAAATAACAAAAAAAAACACCGTACATAATTAAGAGTAATATTAAACGTTAAAGTAATTGCAACGAAACTGTGAAACGTTTCACGCTCGATAAATTTCAACCACGCGGCTAATTGTTTTACTTACCCGAGAACAAATAAAATTTCGCAGTCTCGCCGAAATAGGCTTCCCCGCGATCGAATCGAGTATCGAAATATACTCGAAACGCTCAAGGAATTTCGATAACTCGCGAACGTTTGGATTCTAATTTCCGTAAGAACGCAAACGATCAAAGGATTGTGAGTTTCCATCGTTTCACGCGTCGTCCGCGGAAAAGTTGCGGGAAGGGTCAAAGGGCTAAGTGAAATCGAACGCGTGATCGTTAAATGGTCTTTCGAGTACACCGCACGAGCGTGTAACGAACGTTAATTATTTGCTTCCGGACGTAAATGAGTTTCGAGGCATGTCGGGTTCTCTCTTTCTTAGAATTTACCGTGCACCTTGCTAAAAAGGTAAAAACAGGATTCGAGTCTAGACAAATTTGGCTACTGGCTACACACCACGTGAACATTGTTGGTCTATCTGCAAATTAACCGAGCTCGTACACAGACAGGGATTCTCAAACGTTCCAAATGATATATCAAAAAATAGAAAAATTCTGGGATTAATTTTATTACAGAAATATTTCAAAAGATTCTTTTTAGGAATCTCGTGTGTTATAGTGGTGTCACAAAGGTGCTAACGTTAACAAAAATAAAACGATAACATTCACGGCGCCCTGTACGTGAAACTGGTCTCGCTCTGATAAACTTATGAATCACGCAATTGCCAAGAAACTTGAATATTTTTCAAATGCACGCACGGGTACATGAATTTCGAAAGCTGTGAAAAGCCAATTGAATTATTTAATTTTTCCAACGTGGCACAAACTTTCCAAGTCGATCGAGAGATCGCGAGTGTTAGAAATGCTTCTGCAGATTTTTATATGTCAACGAAACGAATATAAAAATAAAAATAAAATTTCTCCCCTATTTTCTGAAATTTTTGATTGATCCTTAAGGAAGAAAATCGTAAACTAGCTTTTAAAGGTGTCAGAGCCAAGGAACTTGAATATTTCCAAGTCGATCGAGAGATCCGCGAGTGTTAGAAATGCTTCTGCAGATTTTTATATTTCAACGAAACGAACATAAAAATAAAAAAAAATTTTCCCCTATTTTCTGAAATTCTTGATTGATATATAGGGGGGAAAAACCACAAAATTAGAGCGTAAAAAGTCGCCCTAGGGCGACGAATGGAAGGGCTGAAGGGAACAAGGGGGTAGTCTCGTAAATTAAGTTCAGGAAGCGATCGAAATTCGCGATTCCTCCAACGAATTCGACGGTCCCGTTAGCTGGCCACGCGAGCTTTTTTATTTCTCATTCGATCGTCGAGGGCCACCTTAATTAAGAACGGACGATTACCTATCACCTGTTCGTTCAAAGAAAATCACGTTACTCTTGTCACACACTTGCGAAAAACACAATCTTTAGAAAAATAGAAAAGTAAATCTTTCTTTTGTCATTCTTCGTTAGACGAGTATATTGGATGAGAGAGAATCTTTAGAAAAATAGAAAATTAAACTGTTTCGAAGGACGCATTATCTGCTGTAATTTTTCTTAAATGGAACGATATATTTTTTAATACTCGATGCAACTAGTGAAAAATAATTTAGAAGATTTCAACGTAAGTATTGAAGGCTCCAAATTATTAAATATTTTGTAAACTGGTGGCTTCTTGTCGTAAGTAATGCAGTACTTTTTTATTAGAAATGAAAAATGCTGAATGTCATATGAAGAACAGTATTTTAGAATAATAATATTTTAATAATATAACAAATATCTTTTAAACTAATAATTTTTCATCACCAGCGAGTAAATACTTTTCTACAAGAAACGACGAACTGTATTGAACAGTGGATACAAAAAATACGATTCTCTACGCGTCCATCCATAAACAAACTAATTGCATCGGATTATTCTTCCCTCGAAGTTGTTTAATTTACATTTTTCAGCATCCTCAACAATTTTGACAACATTTTTGTGAATAGAGTTCGTCAGACATTTATAAAATTCTTCCTGTAACAATCATAGACTGGCTTTTTGTATGTAGTAAATAATGCAGTACCTTTTTGTTGGGAACTGAATGTTATACGAAGAACAATATTTTAGAATAACACTATTTTAATGATACAGCAAATATATTTTTTCATTACAGCTGATTAAATACTTTTCTCTAAGAAATGAGCTGCACTAAACAGTGGATAAAAAAATCTACGATTCGAAGCTGTTTAATTCATACTTTTCGATATTCCCAACATTTCAGTGAACAAAGTTCGTCACAGACAAATTTATAAAATTCTTCCAGTGACAAATCATAGACTTCTTCAATGAAATTCAACTGGACATCGGTCTCCCATTGTTTCATCGATCTTCGCAAGTACCGTGACACGCGTAACGTGAAATATTACGTCATAGGGTTCCAAGGAGCTCGGCTCGCATTCCTATAGTTTCAATAAATGACGACACACCCGGAGCCAGCTATGCCAGGGTTCGATATTCCCAGGAAAGAAAAGAAAAGAGCCAAAGGGTTGAGCCTGGGTCGCGCGAAAGTTCGTCAGAGGGAGCACCACGGGATCGTGGCGAGCTTCTTTTTCTCTTTCGTGGGACCCTAAAGGCAGGTGGTTGAAGCAGCCTGCATAAGTAGGTCCTCCGTGTTCTTGGCGCAGGTCCTCGATAAACACGAGCACCGTGAAGCGTCCGGACCCGGTTCGCAACCGGAGAACAAAATGCCCTCTAATTAAAGGTACGCTTCCCTAAGACCTTCGTTAACCTTGTCACCCCTCTGTCCCGTTACGTCAAGCGGTTTATAAATATTTAGCGCTGCCAGAGGCCGGCGTTATTATTATAGACGGGAGCGATCAATTAAACTTAATCCCGCGTGAAATTCAATTAGCTACGTGTGGCTCGATGGATTGGCGGAGTCTCTCTCTGTACGGGCGCGAAAATAAGTTCTACTTTGTTCGAGGGAACTCGAGCGGGAATCGACGTTTCCCGTAATACGCGGAGCTAATGACGAACGTCCAAGAGTAACTGGAACGAATCTTGCAACGATTCGGTCGCGTAAAGAAACATTCGAACAGGATATGTAAATTGCAGGCTACAATGAGACGCGATTGAAATTCTACCGGTTCGAGCCACGATGCGCAGTGGGATGATAAAAGACCACGAATAAATGTGCAAGGGATTTTTCGATCTCAGCAAAAAAGAAAGAATTCAATTTTTTTAATTATGCTAATCGGGATGATAAATTTGACACCCCTAGAAACACAAAAAACATTATTATACTATGTCATCTGTGACCCATATTTTTAAATTTTATCCAACGCATTCGATATCTCGATTCGAACATAAATGGACTTACACCACTTTCAAAATGAACGACTCATATCTATCCGTTACTTTGCCTGAAATATGTATTACCTTTTTTTTTTTTAGACACGGTCTTTCAATTTTTCAATCTCCGTTTTATATTGAAAAAATTGAATGTTATTCATTACTTGTATATTATAAATTATTTTTGAATAATTCCTAAAACGTGTGTTTGACGAAGGGAAGAGGAGCACCTGAATATACTCGTCCATCAAAGAATAAAAAAAACCAAGATGGCGCCCGGCCGTACCTGAATGTATCCCAGCGTCCGCGTCCGCGTCCTCGAACACGGAGGACTCCGTGCCCTCGTCGTTGTCCGCGACAGAATCGTCGGGAGTCTCGTCGTCTTTCGACTTCTCGCTGCCGGAACGATGGTTCTCGTTCCTGGAAGGCGTCGGGACGGCGCAGGGGCTGTCTACCGACGCGTGCCTGCCCGCCACCTTCACCAGCGTGCTGGTGCTCCTGGCCAGCTTGGTGCTGTGCGTCCTCCGTATCAGCAAGTTCGTGAACGTGGTGTTCCCGTTCTGTTTCGCCCTCGTGTCCGCCGAACCGTTCGCCTTGGTCTCGACGATCTTCGCGGAAGAGGAACGCTGCTTCTCCGCCCCCTTCTTCTTCGAGTCCTCATCCTCGACTTCGAAGCACGCTATGGTGTTGTTCAGTCGGCTGTCCTTTCTACCGGCGTCCTTCCTGCCCGTGAACCGGCTCTGGAATCTCTCGATGGTCTTGAACGACCTGGTCCTCTCGACCTTCTTCCTCTGCTCGGACCCGTTGCCGACCTGCTCGCTCTTGGGCGTCTCGAAGATCTTCGTCAGGGACTGCACCTTGCCCCTGGACTCCGGGAACGTCTCGTCCCGCGAGCCCTTCGCGGATATCGACTCATTGTTGCTCAACGTCCGCGTCAGTATCACGTTCGGCGTCGTCTTCGAGGTGCTGATGGGGAACGTGTTGCTGACGAACTTGTCGCTCTCTGTGGTCACGGTTTTCGGTATCTTCGACGGCTGACGAGCCTCCCCGTCCAACGACACGTAGAACGTCGACCTCCGTTTAGGGGACTCCTCGATATTATCTGTGTTCAACATGACTGTCTCCTGCAGTCGCTCACATGTCACGATATTACTGGGCTGATCTGGCCGGAGGTACTCTCGTCGATCGACTCATCTCAGAGTTCAATAAACGAACTCGAAACTATTATTCTCAACCATCGAGAGACTTCTTTTACTCCCCATAATATTCAAATCAATTTTCACACGAGGACGAGGGGAACTCTGTTCTAATAACTGTGTCACTCAACGAAATAAATCATAGTTCAATAAACGAACTCGAAACTATCATTTTCAACCATCGAGAGATTTATTTTACTCCCCGTAATATTTAAATCAATTTTCCACTGCAATGATACACGAATAAAGTACTCAACGTCCGTCTGAATATGAATTCTGACACCTCCCAGACGCATCGAAGTTATTTCGAACGCGGTATACGTGTCCTCCTGGTCCAGCGGGGAGTTTCCTCAAATTCACCTTACGATTCCGTCTCGAGCGTGCAAGAGCGAGAGAGAGAGAGAGAGCGCGCCCAGTCATCGGAGCACCGAAATTTCTTGCTCGAGCGATTCCTTTAAATATAGACGTATCTCTCGGGTGCTCTGGCACGGAACACGTGTGTATCGAGAAAAACAAATACACGGTTCTGACTCCCTCCTCGGGGGGGAGGGATACGGCGGCTCGCTAACCGTGATTTTTTTTCTCCCCTCCTCCTATCGTCTTCGATGTTTTTGTCCCGGCTATCGCGTTGACCTTTGTCGAAGAATCGGGTGTACGCGGTCGATCGTTACACGCTCGATCCACAAAATTCGAAGATTACAAGGCGTGTTACGGTTACCGCCGGGGCACCTGTTAATCACCACGGTTCCCTCACTCCCCGTTTCCCCCGAACGGGGCCACGAAACATTCCCGGAACCACCACAAAAGAGTTCACCAGCGACGGAGAAAAAAGGTCCCCAGGAATGCACCGGAATACCATTAACCCACACAAACGTACGTAAACGCACTCGCGCTGCTCGACCGAGGAGATACGAGGGAGCACACGCGAACACCGGAGAGCCGTACGATCTCGAGACTTTCGTCGGTTTCACGGACACGTCGAATCGCGATGTTCACGCTGGCGGAAGAGACCGAGTCAAGAGCACGAGGTACGAAGAAAAGTAAAAGGGTCTGAGTCACGACGAGGGAATTACGGGTGCTGCCCGGCGTAACCGGGGAAATCGTCGTGGCTGTCGTGGAATGCGGTGGACAGGCCCGGCCGATCTCGCGTTTCTTTTCACCAAACGGACGAGAGAGCTCGTTTTTTTTCGAGGAACACACGCGCGACCCGCGACGCGAAACGTGAAACGAGCAGCGACGCACGATCGTCCGCACGGCAGACGGGCTCACGACTATCTGCTCTCGTGCCTCTGTCGGACGTCTACTACCAGCGCCCCTGGCGGCCGTCCCGCCAAACGATCGACTCTCGGAGGATCGAGCGTGTCGGACGTTCGTAGCGTTCTTTCTTTCTTTTTCTTTTTCTTTTTTTCTTTTGCAATATTGTTATACAGGCGGTGCTTGCTTCGTTTACGCCCCTGGACAGAAAATATTATCGCGCCCCCGTTGCGGGAATGAAAAGCCATTCGAGGCCGGGGGAAAATTAGTCGAGGGAAATACGAGTAGGTGTGCTGTTACGAATTAGGGACGAATCTCGACGCAAGAACTCACGTAACGTCCGGTTCTAACGATATTTATTTATCACTCTTTTTAACCCTTTGTACTCCGAATTATATTTCAATTTTGTTACCAACGCTCTTAAGTGTTTTATTTGAAATTTACGTTAACTAAAAAATAGGGGAATTTAAACAAATAGATTTACTATTTACACTATCGTTACATTTGGTAACTTTCAAGTGTATGATATCTCTTTGGTTTAGACTTGAAAAAATATCGACATAAGAGTGCAAAGGGTTTAATTTAAACAAATATACTGTAACTTTCAGAGTCTCTATTTTTATTTCTGTAATTGAGAAGAATATTTTGGGGTCTATTGCTGCTGGTCCAAATATGTGCTCCACCAATCATTATGTATCGTTTAAAATATGCACTCTCTGATTTCTTTAATAATTATCAAAACTGATAACAAGAAATATATTGACAATGATAAAGAACGTTGTACGTTTGCTATTTATAGATCCACAACATCGATGACGAAGATCGTGTATATATGTATCGTACCGAATGATATAATGAGTTTTATTTAAAGGTATTTAAATGTGCTGTTGTTTCAGCCTACGAGCAACTGACCCTGTGACCCATTAATCTAGATTATCTTTGAAAGTGAACTCTGCATGTTCGAGAATGATAATCAGTTCTATATATGGAGCAAAGTATGCTGTATCATTATTTATATATATTACCACGAAAACAATAGCTGAATATGAATATTCACTAATAATTATTACAAATTAGATTGCCTAGTTTTACGATACATAGAAAGTATTTCCCAACAATGTAGTATATTAAACTATTGATATATTTCCTAACTTCGAATTTCATTAATTTAGATGTCGATCTTTCTTTTGCAATTATTATTCCAGTGATATTTGCCCCGTTGATGAAATCTATTGAATTCGTTGAACTTGAGCTGATCCTTATTGGGGTCCATTACTTTCGAAGCTACTATTTAGGAGAGGCCACGTCGGTGCCTTTCTTCGAGCCATAGCATAATACAACAATCAAATTCCGAATGTGATTTGTGTGGATGAAAGTCACATCACGTACGAGGTGTCCACACTGTATATCAATTGCTGTCCGGCAGTTGCGTTTGCCTTCGTTTAGAAGCTGTACTTTTCTACACTGTTCCATCTACAGTTACCTTAAAACTGTTTCAATACCAGAGTGAAAAATTACAGTTACAGCCTGACATTTTTAAAACTATAATGCTACAAGAACAACTTCGAAATTTAAAAAATAATGAAAGTATCTCAGGGGTAAAAAAATTAATATTTTACTTGATGATCGTTCCAGAGTTTCTTCCAATTATGCTCGCAATAAGCGATGCAAATTGTAACAATGGAAGATTCAGCCCTTAATGACAACGGTGATTAAGATTCAACGATAAACGGGGACACGATCAAAATCACGGCACTTTTTGCGCAATAATGAGGTGCTAATTGCAAGAGCGGAGCGTTGTTTCGTCTCGAGACAAAGTTCATTCTGAAACATCCTGAGGATGTCGACGAATCTCACGATATTGTGCCCAATATCAAAGCACGCCATTTTAACCAAACACTGAACTAAGAATTAAAAAATATATTACATAATATAATTAGATCAATTTTTTAAATTTGATATTTTAAATAGCAACGAAATATTTAACATCAGTGAACATCTTCATTCAAAATTAAAAAGGTTTCGATATGTTCTAGTAATTTTTAAAAATGTATATTTCGAATTCGTAATTTAAAATTTCACATTCGATTTCTTGTTGCTTTAACTTGCCTTTGGCTGACCTTTAAACGGGTCGATGCCCAGGGAATTCGCATTAAAAAACATTTCTATTATCTCTGACGTTCGATCAGCGCAATTTAAAAGAACGCCGTGAAAGTTTATAGACCGAATGCTATAGTGACTCAGCCCGGACTTAGAATCGTGATCGATAATCGTTTCCTCGATTTCCTGTTGTACGGAAACGCTTACGAAACTGGAGCAGATTCGTCACCTCGACCGGCTATTTCCATTTCGCGTTTAGCGATTTTGCTATTCGGTCTAGCGGCGAACCGAGATCTAGGAACTATGTCGACTCTTACCGAATCGCGAATTCAACCAGGTTAATAATTTTCACGAGCCAATTCTTCCTCCAACCACAGGATCTATAGGCAACTTTCTCCTGGGAAAGGATTTACTGTTCTCTCGAGAGATCCGCGGACGCTATTCTCACGCAGGATTCGAGTTTTTCGGTCAATGGGCAGAGATATCGACTCACGAATCTAATAATATCGATACTTATTCTCAAGAACCGTGTCACGGTATCGAATAGATAAAGAAGTAAGCTATCCGTAGTTTTGTTTACATTTCTTGCAACATCGATGCAATGCAAAGAATAGATATCGTTGAAAATTGAATGGAAGCTTAAGATGGTTCATGGTCTATTAGTAATACAGACTATAGTCTGGTCAAAATTAATTGGCCATGGAAAAATCTCGAAAGTTATGAATATTAATTTGAGGAAGAATTTCTGGCCTCACATTAGATTTTAGTAAAGAATTTTTTTTCTCGAAAATGCGTAGGATTTCGGGGGCATGTCTAATGACCAAAAATGATCGTAATTGACCCCTGCAAGTGAAAATAATTTTTCCAGAACGATTTGAAATTTTTTAATTTTGTCGAAAAATTTCACACCTTTTCGAATTTTTTTCTCGAAAGGGGGCAGGATTTCGAGGACATGTCTAACGACCAAAAATGATTGTAATTGACCCCCGTAACCGACAATAATTTTTCCAGAACGTTTTGAAATTTTTTAATTTTGTTGAAAAATTTCACACCTTTACGAATTTTTTTCTCGAAAGTGGGAAGGATTTCGAGAGCATGTCTAATGACCAAAAATTATTGTAATTGACCCCCGCAACAGAAAATAATTTTTCCAGAACGATTTGAAATTTTTTAATTTTGTCGAAAAATTTCACACCTTTTCGAATTTTTTTCTCGAAAGGGGGCAGGATTTCGAGGACATGTCTAATGACCAAAAATTATTGTAATTGACCCCCGCAACAGAAAATAATTTTTCCAGAACGATTCGAAAATTTTCTCTTTCGCCGAAAAATTTAGGCACCCTCTTGTCGATTTTTCTTAGTAATTTGTTTTTCATTTTTAATAAATTTATTTGACGATCTACAGAAAAGTTGTCTAATACTTTTTTTTAGGTACCCATGGGCCCTGCTTCAGAAAAAAGTTTCAATGAGATACCTTTACTATTGTAGGAGTTATGGCAATTTGAAAATTGAACCGGTTTTATGGGGTTTTTTTATTTTACGGGGTTAAAGAAAAACTTTTTCAACATTTTTAGAATTTCTACACTTTCTTCACTAAAATACGCGTTGTTTGCATTTTGAAAAATTAAAATCCTCCAATCCGTTCAGGAGTTATGGCATTTTAAAGATTCGCATGAAATTTCAGGGAAGCCTCACATTAGATTTTAGTAAAGAATTTTATTTCTCGAAATTGCGTAGGATTTCGAAGTACGTCTATTCACCGAAAATGCTTGTAATTGATCCCTGTAACTAAATATAATTTTTTCTGTATGATTTGAAATTTTTTAATTTCGTCTAAAAATTTCAGTAGTCGAATTTTTTTTTCGAAAATGGGTAGGATTTCAAGGATTTGTGTATTCACCAAAAATGATTGTAATTGAGCCCCGCAACCGAAAATAATTTTTCCAGAACGATTCGAAAATTTTTAATTTAAGTTTTTAATAACTTTTTAACGAAGCCTCAATCAACAAATTGATATTCTTGATGTATTTGTGAGAGTTACCAATGCATTTTAAAATCACACAAATTAATTACAATCTGTATATAGCTCGAATAATTAAAAAATAAAATAGTGAAACCTGAAGTAATTTATTTTCGAACACTAATATAATTGTTGACTATAAAATCACAGAAATTAATTAATTGCAATCTATACATAGCTCGAATAATTAAAGAATAGAATAGCGAAACCCGAAGTAATTTATTTCCGTCGGTACAAAAGTATCGACGCCATCGAAACGAGTTCTCCGGTCCAACGAATTGCAGAGGATTCGGGAACCTTTCAACTCCGAAAGGGTCCGATATCCGCTGAAATCCTTGAAAGCGATTACGAGTTACGTGTTCCCGGCGCGACGGTAGCCAAAACGATCGAGAAAAGGGTCTCGGGGAAAAATCGTTGTCGAGCCATTCGTCCGTGAGTCACCGGTAGCCGGATCGTAAAACGGAATGAATTTTTATCGCGTTGCGAAAACGCCGTGGCTGCGTTCGCGGTAATCGTATCCGGCGAACGAGTGCCCAGATAACGTTCTGTTATTATGCAAGTGAAAACTGCGACAACCATAATTGCGCCGCGGTACGGTGGAATTTGAGGATCGTCGAGCGTGCCGGTGAGCCTTGAAATATTATTCAAATTGCAATCGCTAACCGGTGGGTGCTCGTTCCATTTACGATTCCGCGAATTTAGATTTAAATTTAATTAGCGGATTTGAATTTCCATCGTGCTCGACAGCCGCTGGGGCGTTTAAACGTCTCGTTCGCGCAACGAACGCGATTGGGACACTCGATAGAACCCGCGACTTTCGATCGAGCAAACGAATTCACATGGAACCTAGTTGGCTCCTGCTGTGGACGATTGCTCTATTGTTAAATTT